AATATTTCAACTTTTTAAAGTGAATGAAGAGGGTGGGAGGTAATTGTAATCGGCAACTGAAATGATCCATTGTACAATAATGTTTAGAAATTACCCAAATATGTAGATGTTTGAAAAAATTAGATGTATAATTCACTGGTTGTAGCTGGATCTGTTAATGAGAAGATTGTAGGTTTAAGGCAGCTCCATAATGGATTTGCTACAATTAAATTTGATTCTTAAGAGAGTAACAATTATTTAAATTTTGGTTACACAGATCAGCCTCATAACCCCCCGAAGTCAATATGGTCTAATAGTCACACTGAGCACAAATTAATTGTTTTTTGCTTTTGGACACAGAGTAAGAATTGTGTGACTAAAAACCCCTGGAGAGAGGTAGTTAACCATGTTTGCCTGAAGTCAGGCAGAGCAGCGTGATACCTCATAGACTAAATTTCATAGACTTTAGGGCTGGAAGGGACCTCATAAGATCATGAGGTCCAGCCTCCTGCCCAAGGGACAGGAAGTCAGCTAGGGTCAAAAGATCCCAGCAAGATAAAAGTTCAAAAGTTTCTTGAATGTTTCTTGCTTGCACCACCTCTGGGGGGAGTTTGTTCCAGGTCTTGGGGGCTCAGACAGTAAAGAAGTTTTTCCTTATGTCCAGCCTGAAATAGTCTTGCAGGAGTTTGCGACTGTTGGACCTTGCAATCCCCTGGGATGCTCTGGTGAACAGGTTTCCCCAGATCCTGATGCACACCCATTATGCACTGATACGAAAGGGTTCCATGACCTCAGGAAGTTTGAAAATCAGTGGGTTTTTTTTTTTTTTAAAGACTTGCTGATGTCATGGAACCCTTTCATATCAGTTCCCTGCCCATCTCTTGAAGACTGATGTGGAGCCATGTGACCCAGCCCTGTTGTAGAGTGCCAGGTTTTCTGCAGAACACAGTTTGAAAACCACAGGACTAAATAACTCAGAGAGGCATAAGCATTCATAAACAATAGTTTACCATGTCAGACCATTCATAGTATCTAATCAGGTAAGCTGTTGCTTATGAAAACTTATTCCTCTCTGAATTAGTCCATAATCACTGTGCTATAACATCTCTATCACAGCCATAGAGATACACTGATTAGAAACTCCCAGTTATGGATTTTGGATACCATGTCATTGGAATCAGTGTGGTTGTTCAGTCACATTTTTCTGTTCTTAAAAAATGTTTCTCTGCCCTGCTTCTGTGCAAGACCTACACTCAAGGGAAACTGTGTGAACACGTTAGAAACTGTTACATGCAGTAAGTTACAGGCTGGAAAAAATCTTGGTGACCTTTCATGCTGCTTGTTGCAATAATAGGTTTTTGGAAAATGTACAAGTGAGATGAAACCAATCATTTCATAAGGATCATTTTATGCAAAAAATACAAAACTGCTGCACCCTCAAAAGTTATGTGAAAATGAGGCTGTGTCTACTTTGCAGAACATAGTGCTGCCCAGAGAAAAACATGCGAATTAGTTCGGGAACTGGAAGGAGTATTGCGGCATTAGTGTGGTACTCCTTCTGGGCTAATTTACTTTGAAAAGGAAGGTAAGTTACTTTGGGTGGAACTCCATGCCTACTCAACTGGACTGTTTCTGGTACTCAGTCTATAAGGTGCTGCATAGTGCGTTGTAGATATACCTGCAGATCTTATCTATACTATAGTGGCCACTCAGGCTGGACTTTACCAGACTCAGCGCCTGCTTTGGGATGCATACTGTGTGCAGTGCATTCCCAGATATGGCTGGGGTGGATGCCAGGTGCAGCTTGGCCAGACTGTCTTACACATGGTGCCCATTCTGGCCACTACAGGATCCACATCACACAGCACAGGTCCCAGACTAGGTGAAGCAGCTTCCAGATCGGGTATGCTGGGGGAAGGGAGGGACCTGATCTGGCCTGCTGACCACCCCTGGGCCACTCATGTGCACCACAGGGCCAAATGAGTTTGGGACTCCTGCTACAGAGCCTCCGCTGCTATGGCTACTTCAGCAGATCTCCTAGTGCTGGTGTTACCAAGCGGTAGTACACTTTAGGGTTGCGCGGAACTTTGGCAGCTGTTTCATTTTGAAGGTTTTTCAGCCCATTTCGGTGCCCAAAACACTGAATCCGAAACTAAACGGAAGGCTCTGAAACAAAACCTTCCAAAATGCTTCAGAAAACTTAAGAGTTTTGGAGCCGGGCTTGCAGGGAAACAAACTAAGAAGAGGGAGGGGCAAGGGGGGGAAGGACTGTTCTGATATTGACATCTCTAGCTGGCCAATGTCTGTGATCTGTCCCTGAGGTCCCTTCCAATCCCAGTGCTCTGGGGGAGGGACGGGAGCCTGCTGTCATCCTGTGTGCAGATCTGGGTGCCTGTACCTCCCAGGAAAAGTCTGGCACAACCCCACAGCCCTCCTAGGGGGTGCAGATCTGCAGATCTGTGCGCAGGAAGAAAGCATGCTGCTAGCTGGGGTCGGGGCTAGTGCCAGCACCCGAGTCTGCTTGGTGCGGCCCATGCTGAGTGCCAGAAAGAACCCAGTGCAGGCATTGGCCCCAGCCAGCAGTGGCAGCCTGCTGTCATCCTGTGTACAGATCTGGGGGCCCACACACCGCAGCCCTTGGATTTGCATGTGGGATAACAGCATGCTGCTGACAAGTAAAAAAAAGTTTTGCTTTGAACAGTTTGAGGTGCAGTGTCACAGGAACTCCGGCACCTATCTCTTTGAAACTTGGCAGATCTAATGCCTTTAGAAGGGGCTACCATCCCTGCAATTTACATCCAAATCGCGCAAGAAATGACAAAGTTATAGGCATTTTAGTGATTCCACATGATGGCCTATGACCAAATCACAGAAACAGCGTAGAAATTCCGAAACGCATTCGTCTGAATTGAAACAGAACAGTGATCCAAAACACTGAAATGAATCACTGTCCCTCCAAAACAGCCAGATCCGAAACCAAATCAAAACACAGCCCTTTCGCATAGCCCTTGTACATATACCCCTGGGAGTACACAAAACATCTCTGGGGGATACGTGGGAGAAATTGTGTAATAGCGGATTTAACTTTCATTATAATTATAGTTGGCATTTAAGGGGTTAAAATATAAAACGTATGCTGATAGGGTATGTAGGCAGCTGGTAAATCTGGAAAGGGGTATGCAATAAGAAAAAGCTTGGGAACCTCTGCCCTAGTGTAAATGCAGAATATGGCAGTGAAGTTCCTCTGCCTACCATAGCTATGCAACCTTCCTGAACAGCATAAGCCAAGCTGACAAAAATGCTCTTCAGACACTCTTCTGGGAGTGTAACTGTGCCCAGAACAGGGGTTCTGGCAGCATTGCTTTTTTAAGTAGGGATGTTGTTTTTCCAGAGAGCTAGCTGATAAAGCAATATTTTGTGGTACATTAGTGTTGATGTGCATTTCCCTTCTCCCATTGACTGTGGGAGGAAAAAGCTGAACCATGAATTTAGCAGATTAGTGTTCTGTTTCAGTAACAATGAAACTGTTTAAATTGTTGCTTTTTTCTTGTTGAAAATAACATATTTAATGATCTAGTACTTCACTAATGTGTTAGATGAATAGATAAGTATATTGCCAGTATTTTTCTTCTTTTGCTTCAGTTTGTCACGATTTTTATAATTAACCAACTTATAGCTCTTGTTTATGTACGTAACAAGTGAGGAATGACTAGACAATTAGGGCATGTCCACACATGCAGGCACGTGTGCTTGCAGCAGCTCAAATGAGAGTGACACAAATTTGAGCCGTGGATTTTTCCCTCTGCGCACGTGCCCAGACATGCACTTCGGTGTGGGGCAAGTTGTGCCACTTGGGACAAAATAATCCTGCCCAGTTCCTTTAGGATCTGCAGCCAAGGGGAGGTAGAGCCTGAGTGATTTACCACAGGCAGCACTGGGTGCCAGGTAGCCAGGGCTGAGCTGCGCTGGCTTGTGCTGTGTTGTGGGGGGTCTTTGCTTGGAGGGCCCCCAGTGCCCTTATTGGTTGCTGCTGTGGGTGGGGGTTGTGGGCTGTGTGGGGGGCAGGCGGGTGACCCACCCTTCCCCCACACCCTTCAGCCCCCTGCGCCAGCCTCCCCCACCCCCAGTTCCTTACCTTTACTTACCTGGGACAGAGCCAGAGTCCATGCAGGGAGCACCACTCCAGGCTGCCTGTGGAGGCAGTGTGCTTCAGCAGTGGGGCAAGGGGCAGCCATAGAGATGCTCTGGCTAACTACCAGAACATCTCTTCGGACGACCTGAGCCTCTGGTTGCCTCAGGGCACAGTCCTGGACTGTGTTCTGCCCCGGGTTTTTCCCCTGTGTTTTATTTTGATACCTCGATAACTGCTTTGAGATACGGCAAGAGGCATGTGCAGACTCATCTGGACACGCTTGTACTATGTATAAGAGAGATCAGGACAGAAATAATGGTGCAGTATAGGTCAGGGCTGAGGGTTAAGTGGTGATGTTGTGTTAGGTAAGTGCGTAGTGACAGGGTTTTGCTTTTTCTTTTAGTTTTACATAGCTTTGAAATTGCATCCTGCAGAAAAGTGCCATGTTGAAATCAGGATGTAAACAACTCTTCTGTTAAGCCCAACAGAAAACAAGTCCAATTTACCCATTCTAAAGCCTCTTTTGAGAGAATGTTATGGCTCTTTGTGAAAACAAAGAGTGGAGTAAGGAATAATTATTTTGTTTCAGAATAGGATTCAAGTAAATTAAATTAAAACTACTTTAATTTTAGGTAAGGGTCTTCCACATGGGTTTAATTTTATATGCATTTACAGTCGATTTAAATTTTTAGTTGATTTGGATTACCTTTACCAAGCGTGCTTGTGTAGATAAGACAGGTTCACTGGAAGAACAATGTTTTTAATATGTTCATATGAAGCACTTAAGAACATTCAGTGCAGAGAACAAGTATGCACAAATTAATTCTTCAAGAATATTTTTGACACTAATCTCTCTTTTCAGTGTATAACTTATGTATTTTATTGGCAGGTGGAGAGTAAGACAATGGCAGGCAACAATCAGCTTTGCATTAGACGTTGGACTACCAAGAATGTAGCCAAATGGCTGAGGGAAGAAGGCTTCTGCGAGTATGTGGACATCTTGTGCAATAGGCACAGATTGGATGGAATTACATTATTAACTCTGACTGAATATGATTTACGATCACCTCCTTTGGAAATCAAAGTCTTAGGAGATATCAAAAGGCTCATGTTATCTATACGCAAATTGCAAAAACAACATTTTGATGTTTTAGAAGAGTTGGGTTACAGTAGTGATAGTCACATTGGAACAATTTCTCCTACTGTTGGCTCCCTTTCGGGTACGGATTGGTTCTGTAATGGTGAAGTACCACGGGATTGTGATGAACCAGTTACTGACTTAAATGATGATCAGTATCAATACACAAATGGAAAAAGCAAACAGCAAACCCGGAGACTGGACCCAGAATACTGGAAGACTATTTTAAGTTGTGTTTATGTTTTCATAGTGTTTGGCTTTACATCATTTGTCATGGTTATAGTACATGAACGAGTACCTGACATGCAAACATATCCACCACTACCAGACATATTTCTAGACAGGTAAGTTATTTAAACTACTTGGTGGGATTAAAACAAATGCTTATACATTTGATTAGAATAACAGATTTTCAGTATTTTTTCCATTTTATAAGGTACTGTGTTTCTGAATGTAAAATGGCCTGTTTTTGTAATGTGCTGCGGTGCCCGAGAAGTTTAAAATAAAGTTGGGAAAAGAAATTGAATGGTTGATGACTGCTGCTGTCACTACTACACAATTGATATTTTAAAAGGAGGCTGTAGGGATCAGTTCCGTGACCTTAGATAACCATTTATTTATAAAGTATATAGTACAAGATTTGACTCATCTTTCTCAGGCTGCAAATAACTTGAATAGTAACTTCCTTCTTGTAGGTGACACAAGCAGTGTGTCTAAGCAAAGACAAAGTAGTAGCAGAAAGAACTTCCATTAACTTGAGGTCCAGAATCTCTTTCCACCCCTTACACTGATTTAGAGGTCATGTTTTAAAGAACTAAACCTACTGTGCTGCTCTTCCCTATGTTGCTACACTTCCCCTTTTGCTCCATGCCAGGAAATTGAATTGAATTCTTGCTGGTACTTCACAAATGAGGACTGCAAATTGTCACAGAGTCCTGCCAAGGAGGCACATGGTCTCAGAGAGCAGCCCTGAACCCAGCCCAGGTATGGCTTTTGGAGTAAGGGTGGAAGTCTTTGCTCCTTCACACTCAGAGGCCCTAACCTTTGTTCCTTGCCCTCTAGTTTTCCATAGCCCTGACTTGAGCCAGCATCCAGTTCTACCCCTGAGAGAGAGACTTGTCTTCTTCTTGGGAAGAACAAGTGCACTCAAAGTTCCAAGCAGCAAATGCATAGCTGTGCCTCAAAGCTGTTTATAGGGAGAAAGGCCACCCAGCTGGAGATCCTGTGACCCTCCCTCCATCCAAAGGCCAAGCAGTTCCTGTCTTTTATTATAGTTTACATGGTCAGAGCACCTTCAAAGACTGCACTACTTTTGAGCCCCAGAGCTGTTGTACTGTTTCCTGTGTTACTTCAGACTCTCCCTGCTGGGAACTGACACCTTCCTTGTCCAGCAGACTCTCTTATTATCATGTTTATGTCTCTCTCTCTTGAACACTGCTTGGGTATTACCTGTGATCTTCACCTTTTGTCAACAAAACTAACCAAGTCTCTGTAGAAAGATGTGTTTTCTTTCTCTAACCTGTGCTTTCCCCAGGTAGTAGCTTCCTAGGTAAACTGGACATCAGGAGGGTTGATTTTAATGAGTTAAGGAGATTAGTCCAGGAGGCACTGAGGTACCGGAGGGTAGGGGGAGTTGGGAGTCCAAGACGAGTGGTCGTTCCTTAAGGAGATGATCCTCTGAGCCCAAAAGGTGACAGTCTCAACGCAAATCAAAGGCAGCAAGAGTGCCCAAAAGTCCCCATTGCTCACCAAAGGCATTCAGGAATGTCTAAAAGCTAAAAAGGAGGTGTACACCCAATGGAAGGGAGGGGCCATCACCAAGGAGGATTATACCTCCGTTGCTCGAGACTGTGGTGGGGGGGCTGTTAGGAAGGCTAGGCTGAGACAGAACTAGGACTAGCAACAAGGATCAAGGACAACAAAAAGTCATTTTTTAAATAGGTAGGGAGTAAAAAGATGGCACTGGGTAACATGGGGCCCCTGCAGGACACACTTGGCAATCTGGTGGTTGCACCAGATGATAAAGCTGACCTCTTTAACAAATTCTTTGCCTCCCACTGGGATTCAGGACAGACTCAGGAGAGGCACAGCCAGGCCTAGGGTCAGAGAGGACCTAGTTAGGGAACTTCTGGTGGAGCTGGATGTGTTCAGGTCATCAGGTCCAGATGATCTCCACCCCAGAGTGCTGAGGGAATTGACAGAGGTCATTGCGGCACCCATGACATGGCTTTACGAGCGCTCATAGTGCTCTGGCCAGAGGACTGGAAAAGGGCCAATGTGGTCCCCATTTTCAAAAAAGGGAGGAAGGAGGACCCAGGAAACTATAGGCCTGTTAGTCTTACCTCAGTCTTGGGGAAGCTCTTTGAGAAAATTATCCAGGAGCACACCTTCAAGGGACCAGCAGGAGAGATTATGCTTGGGGGCAACCAATATGGATTCATTAGAGGCAGGTCCTGTCAGACCAACCTGGTGGCCTTCTATGACCAGGTCACAAAATCCTTGGACACAGGTGTCGCGGTGGACGTAGTCTTTCTGGACTTTAGGGAGGTCTTCAACATGGTCTCTAGCTCCATTCTCACTAAAAAATTAGGCGACAGTGCCTTCGATGCCTACACAGTCAGATGGGTCGCAAATTGGCTGGAGGGCCACACCCAGAGAGTGGCGGTGGACGTGTCATTTTTGACCTGGAGGGATGTGGGCAGTGGGGCCCCGCTCAGGGCTCGGTTGTTGGGCCTGCACAGTTTAACATCTTCATCAGCGACTTGGATGAAGGGGTGAAAAGCACCTTGTTGAAATTCGCGGATGACACTAAGATGTGGGGAGAAGTGCGCATGATAGAAGGGAGGGACAGGCTGCAATGGGATCTGGACAAGTTACAGGGGTGGGCAGGTGAGAACAGGATGAGTTTCAATACTGACAAGTGCAAGGTGCTGCACCTAGGGAGGAAGAACCAGCAGCATACCAATAGGCTGGGGAGCTCCCTTCTCAATAGCCCAGAGGATCTTGGAGTCACTTGATTCCAAGACGAACATGGGCTGTCAATGTGAGGACGTAGTCAGTAAGGCTAAGCACACCTTGTCATGCATCCACACATGCATCATGAGCAGGTCCAAGGAGGTGGTCCTTCCCCTCTATGCGACACTAGTCAGGCCGCAGTTGGAGTACTGCATCCAGTTCTGGGTGCTGCAGTTCAGGAGGGATGGGGACAGCATTGAGAGGGTCCAGAGGAGGGCCACTCGCATGGTCAGGGAGCAGCAGGGCAGACCCTACGAGGAGAGGCTATGGTACCTGAACCTGTTCAGCCTCCACAAAAGAAGGCTGAGAGGAGATCTGGTGGCTGTCTATAAACTTACCATGGGGGACCAGTGGGGAATGGGAGAGTCCCTGTTCCCCCGAGCACCACCAGGAATAACTAGGAATAACGGCCACAAGTTGACTGAGAGTAGGTTCAGGCTAGACATCAGGAAGAATTACTTCACAGTTAGGGTGGCCAGGGTCTGGAACCAGCTTTCAAGGAAAGTGGTGCTCACTCTTACCCTGGGGGTCTTCAAAAGGATTCTAGGGAATCACCTTGTTGGTTTGTTTTGACCCCAGCATTCTTTCCTGCCCATGGCAGGGGGTCAGAATTGATGATCTGCTCATATCCCTTCCAACCCTACCAACCAACCAACCATGATCCCTGAGAGAGAGGATTTGTGTTGTTTTCAATGCATAGATATGCACAATTGACCTATTCTGATTTGCTTTGTGGGAAGAGCGATATACCCCGAGCAGTGAAATAAAGTATGGCAATAGGGCCATACCTTGAAATAGGTCATATCTTGAACTACCAATATATCATATCCAAAAATCTGGTGGGCATCAGCTTTACTTTCTCACTTCCTGAATTTGACCTGTGGTTTGCTAAGGTAAATTTGATTTCTAGGATTGGTGGCTGTCTGCTCAATCTATATGATGAGCACTTTGGGTCCACTGGTGCAAGAATTTGTATGATGCTATTGCAATGATTAACAGTCTTGCAATTTCCTCTTTGACCAAGAGGTCTCTCTGCTGCATACCAAGATATTGCTGCATCTCATAAATGCCTGTGATTAAGCTGGCATACACGAGCAACCCCGTGCTTGTCTTAAACATAGATACAGTGGCGATGTCCCATTTGATTGCGATGGGAAGATTGTTTATCTCTCGGTATCCTGTATTGCCCTTGGATTTCATGGATGGCTGACCTAGACTAGATACATGCTGGTTGTTGTATTTCAATATATGAAGTAGTTGGTGAACAGTCTCAGTAAGCAAGCCATTAATTTCAGAGAAGTGACACTGATATTGCAATCATGTTCTAGTTTCTCCCTATTAGCTCATCTTTTAGAGATTGTTTAAAAGTTCTCTAAACTAAATTGGAACATCAGTTATTCTTCTAGTCACTCCCTGTATATGTACTTAAAGTGACCTTAATATCACTCCACTCATGTCACAAGAAATGAAACACCTTTTTTTGCTGTACCAGCAAAAAAATTCAGCGTAATTTACGTGGTTGATTAGAGGCAGGTAATCTGCACATACTGTGTTATAATCATGTTCTATAGTACCAATAAAACACTCCCTGTTGACAATGGGTTTCAGTAGCATAGCCTTTACTCCTGTAAACATTCATGAGCAGTCTGGGTGAAGTCATTAGGACTAATCATGTGAAAGAGGGTTGCAAAATCTGACATTTTAAGATATTACTCAGCAAGTGGTGACAGTATGTTCCAGATGGGAGGGGGAAAGGAGGATAAGAGTAAGTGACAATACTGAATACTGGATTGTGTTTGTAGAACAAGAACCATAGTCACAGAATTGGGAGAAGGTACAGGGCAGTGAATGCTAGGGACAAGTAGCAGCAAAACAATGCGAAAGGATTACAACAGTCGACGTCTGAGCCACTATGTTTTGTTTTTCACTGTTTTTGTACCAAAGGGGACAGACACTTCCACTGAGAGCTCTAGCAATTTCTGGTCTGAGGAAATTTGAGTGTGCAAATTACTGCAGTAATCATTCCAGTGGGAGAAGTTAGGAAATGTTTTGACCAACAAGGCTATAAAGGCTCATATGCAATGATCCTTTAGTTGAAATCTAATTTAAAAATAAGCTCTTAGGAAAATTCAAAGAGGAAGAAGCTGGGGAATGACTGCCCTAAATGCTGTTGATCCTCTTTTAAGAGGAGGATAGGAGAGAGGGGCAGCAAAGCAGAAGCATTGATGATGGGTTGAGGATATGAGGGACTATGAAGAAAAATCAAGGGACTGTATCTTAAAGGAGTAGTGGGGAACTGAGGGAGCCGGTACTGCAAGCAGAGAGGAAAGAAGAAAACAGAAGGGGTGGAGGAGGGAGAAGGAGAAGAAAATTTTGATAATGCATAGGGGGAATTGGTTGTAGCCGTGATGGTCTAATGACATAGGCAGACCAGGTTCTTTGGGTAAATTGATATCTTTTATTAGACCAACTGAATGTTTGGAAAAATTGTTGTTTACAAGCTTACTGGCATAAGCACCCTTCTTCAGGCATAAGGAGAGTCTCAACATGAAGAGTTAGATAAAAGAAAACTAAAATCTAGCATAAAGATTATTTTCATTCTCTGGAATTTTTCAATGTTATAACTTTTGCCAGCTTCAGAAGGAAAGCAAGGGTTTAGTAATCCAAGAATTAGTAGTCCAAACATGCTAACATGGTGAGTGCATTCTGACACACATGTTGAGGCCATAGATTTTCACCCAGCTACTCCTGCACTTAGTCTTATTACTTGTTTGACAAAGACCTGTCTTCCAGAAACATTCTGAATATTGGAGACTTAAAAGAAATGGAGAATTCATAGTTTTGGTAATTTGTTCAACAGGTACTGAGATGTGCAGTTGGAGCTGCATGTGTTCATGCTGCAGCTGGAGCTGTATGTGTTCAACATATTTTGAAAAATAGACTTGATGTTAGGTACCTAATCAGTGGTATCAGCTTTGAGCTTGTAAGTTTTTGTTATTTAGGTTTTTTGTTTTTTCTTTAGTGTTCCTAGGATACCATGGGCCTTTGCCATGACTGAAGTATGTGGTGTGATTCTCTGCTATATCTGGCTTCTGGTTCTTCTTCTTCACAAACACAGGTACAGTAACTCAAATAACCTTTAAGACAAATATCTGGTGACCTAATTCAGAGAGAGAACCTACTAGAATCCAGATAACGGCTGTGTTAGACTTGTATTTTCAACTTAATTCTGTTTCCCTATTGAGATGGTCCATGATGAGCAGCTCCCCCCGGCCCTCCTTCCTTACCTCTGAGGTAGGCTTTCTCCTGTAGTACTCTGAGGGTAGTCCTTTTTGTCTTTCTGTCTGACTGAAAGTGTTGCAACAGTCTACCTAGAAAAATTGTGGAATCTCCATCCCTGGAAATTTTCAAGAGTAGGTTGGGGAGAGATTTGGCTGGGGATGGTTTTTGTCAAGAATGAGCCTGCCTTGAGAAGGGACTGGATGAAATGACCTTGTGAGGTCCCTTTCAGCCCTACTTTCCTGTGCTCCTAAAATTTCTGCTTCCATTTTATTCAGTGTAGATTGAATTTGGCTACATCAGAACCTGTCTTCTCTTCCCCAGGATCAACCATTTTTTCATAACTAGCCTCTTTATAAGTCTTGGACATAGGTAGCTAAGTAATGCCCAGAACGCTGGCCTGGCAGTTGAATGACAGTTTGGGCATGGCTGGCTCTACCTTCTGAGAGAGGATTGCAAGCACTTTTCTAATTCCATAGTCCCTGGGTTTGCTCTTGGCATGGGAGCCTCTCATTCATTGAGTTCTTACAGCAGGTGCTTGTAAGAAGAAAGCGGGCTTCTGAAGAATATTTACTTCATCTTCCTTGCTTTATTTTCTCTATAGTCCGGGGCGTTTCCCTGCAATGTTGTTTTCAGGAGCTTCAACAGTTTCCAAGGAGTGTCTAGCGGTTGCCTGGCTGACAGTAGACTTGCCCCTCCCATTTAATTTAGACTGAGCCCAGACATCACAATTGCCTAATCTGCAGTGCGTCTGTTAGCCAACCTCAAAATGCAGCTCAGGCATGACATGGACTTTCCCTTGCTTATTGCAGTGTATGAAAAACTAGTGCTGTTTTAAATATCTAAATGTATGTTGTTTAGACAGGCAAGAAAAATATTGCTTGCTTTGAATAAGAAATGAATACATTGGTAATGTTGTTTAGCTAGATTATTTGAGATGTTCTTATTCTTGCTTTTAGAGAAGCAAAAGGTGTAAGGCAGACCAAATAAACCTGCACTTAAATGGAACAAAAATCTATGACTAATTTGTTCCTTGGACATTTTATGGTTGAAGGATATCATCCATTGACTTGTAATTAGTGTTCAAAAGGAACTCGTTCTTGTAATGAGGGTCTGCATCAAGTAGTTTCACTGAGTGAAAAATAGCTGAGTGTATTTGTTGTCTAAGGGAAAATCTTAAGTGCATAGCAAGCATGAGTCGCTTTTTACTTCTGGAGCATATTTAACTTTGATTTAGGGTATATTTAACATGGGAAGTAAATACAGTTCAATCATAAAATTGCATGAAAATTTTTGGAAAAAGTACTTCATGGGAAGAGTTTGCAAAAACTCTTTAAAAACACCTTTTCTCCTTATTTTCATTATGCAACATTATTTGTATTCTTCTCTTTTTCTTTCCTATTTTTCCCCCCAGGTCTATACTTCTGCGAAGATTATGCAGCCTGATGGGGACAGTGTTTTTGTTACGCTGTATCACAATGTTTGTTACCTCACTGTCTGTGCCAGGCCAGCATCTTCAGTGTTCTGGCAAGGTAAAAACACTGTTCTTCAATCTTCTGGAAGGATTTGACTTAAACTCAGATTAAAACTAGGCAAACAAAGACAAGAGTGGTCTTTTTAGAGTATACTTTCTAAGTATGCAGAAAAGTCTCTAATACAGGGATATCAAATTCACCCTGCCCTGTAGGCCAGATCCAGTCCATGTGAAGGTCCTTGCAGACAGTGGCTGGGGAGAGGTGGTGAGGGTTTACACATCCATTGCTTGCTTGCGTCCCACTGGCAGCATACATCTCTAGTGGGACTTTGCCCAGGATTTTGCCAGCAGGCCCTACCCCTGCTTGCCTCAGCCCCTTTAAAAGCCCTGTTGGCCGTAAGTTTGACACCCCTCCTCTGTTAGGTTGAGATCTCATAAGTGTCATGGAGTCAGTGGTATAACAAATGCTCAAAGACCAGGACTTCAGTCCCAGGCAGCCAGAGGGCACAAGAACAGCAGCTGCTGCTGGTGCCACAGCCACTGCTACCTGAGTTGCAGACTCTTGTTGTTGCATCTCTGCATGGAGTTGTACATTACTTAGGTCAATGGTTCTCAGTCTTTATTGTACCAGGACCGATTTGTAAGCATTGATGGCCAGTCCTGACTCAGTAAATAGTTTAAGTAGAAAACAGCCTCCTGGCTGTGCTAGCATCCTACACTCCCAACTTGCTGTCCCAGCGCCCTAGTGTGCAGTGGAGGGATGTATTTCCTCAGATTTGCGCACCCATAGCAGGCATAGAGCTATAGCCTGGCTGGATTGGTACGGGTAAGAGCCGCCTCTGCAGCCCAGCAAGTGGGACTCAGCATGGGAGGGCAGAGTGGGGTGGCAAGACTCACTGCTGCTGGAACCCCATCACCAGCCATACTGCCAGCAGCGAGAGAAATAATGGATGGTGAGGAGGAGGGCCACGCTGTCTTCACCGTTACCTGCTGCCAGGGAGTTTGGCAGAGCTGGGGGCATTTCCCTGTCGGGATGGTGTGTGGGGCCTGGGGCTTGGTGTCTCGGTGGGAGTAGATGTAGACTGGCAGCTGCTGGCTCAGGGCTCCCAACCCTGTTACCCTCCTCACAGGGCCACTGCGGCCCAGCAGGTGGGACCCAACATGGTAGGGCAGAATGGGGTGGGGCGGGTAGGCTCAATGCTGCTGCTGGGAGCCCCTCACCGTCATGGCGAGGCACCCCCTGCCAACCTGGCAGCAGTGGGGGTGACAGTGGTGTGAGGCTTCTGGCAACGGCACCGAGCCTCCCTGTCCTGCTCTGCCCTGCTGTGCCAGGTCCCACCCACTGGGCTGTGGAGGCCCTTCGGGGGAGGGCAGCAAGGTGGGGAAGCCCGAGTCTGCAGTCGCCAGTCTGCATCTGCTCCCCCCTCTTCCCCCTAGGGGCTCTGTGCTTTGCTTTGCTGTAGCAGCCACTACCTTCCATGGGTGGCAGCCATGGCTTCGGCACTGCTGGGGGGCAGGGGGCTGTGGAGCCAAGTCCCTGGACTCATAACCCTGGGCTGGGGGGGCGGTGGGCTGTGGGTGGGTAGTGAGGGGCAGTAGCATGGGCAGGGTACTGGCATATCAGGGCTGATCAGCATCACAAAACAGTGTCTTGGGAGTAGGGGGCAGTCACAGCTGGACCTCACATCCTGATGAGTGAAGGGAGCAGGGGGAGCTCTGTTTTTTCCTATGATAAAAAAAACAAACAAACCCAAAGTCAAACGCCAACACTTACAGGTATTGAGAATTTATTTTATTATAGTGACTGAGGCACTGGTAGGCTTCCAAATTTTGCTTTAAAACCATACATATGTCAATAAAACATTGTGTTCAACTGACACACATACAAAAAGTGGAATTTCCTTTTAATTGTGGAAAAAACACAGATTTTGGTGTTTTTAATTAGAGAATTTCTGGGGTATTTTATCAGAGAATTTACAATTTTTAAATAGAAAACCAGGATCCCTTTTAATTGCCCTTTTCCTGCTCCCCCAACCCAGCTCCAAGCAGCCCCTTGCAGGCTGGAACTCTGCCATCCTGTAAAGGGAAACCTGTGGGTTCCCATGTTTTCCTCCTTTAAAGGAGGATCCATTTTTTAATATTTGTTTGTGGCCCTTTCATATATTCTTGCAACCCACTTTTCATAGATTTCATAGACATTTGGGCTGGAAGGGACCCCAGAAGATCGTCGAGCCCAGCCGCCCACCCCAGGGGCAGGAAGTCAGCAGGGGTCATAGGATTCCAGTAAGATAAGCATCCAATGTGTCTTGAAGGCACTCAAAGTGGGTGCTTGAACTGCCTCAGGTGGCAGTCTGTTCCAAAACTTGGGGGCTCAGACAGTGAAGAAGTTCTTTCTT